TTTTTTTTTAGTATATTGAATGTTTACTCAACATGTCCACGCGTTTTTAACTTTTACCTTTTGGCTGTTAATATTGAAATTAATTGGTAATAAACGAGCATCGCCTGTTTATAATTCGTCAGGCAGCGCCATGGCCTCGCTTTTGTTTATCGCCTCTCTGCCAATGATTCCAACACATGCCAAGCAAAAATTAAAATTGAAAATCACCTTTATCTGCCGTTTTTTGCAATCAGATACGAGAATGAAAAAGCACCAAGCACCTGTGTTATTTTAGCGCCAATACGCGATATGCTTTATGCACACACGACTCAACGAGTATAAATAAATAAATATATTACTACAATAACAAACATTGAATTCTCTGGCCCACAACGAAATGTAATCGAAATGAAAAAAATACTCCCCCAGATCAACTCTCGGTTTATTTGCGAGTCTACAGAGTCTGTCTTTTCAACATAAACAAACTATTTATACAATTGATTAACTTAAATTTTTGGATCAATAAACTGTCAAATCTTGTGGGGAAACAATTTACCTTAAACTTTTTTACAGTGAACTGCAAACTTTAATTTACATAGGCAGCAACATATATTCATCCACGTAACTAAAACTATTTCGCTATTTTTGCAACCGCTGGTCACACTGACTTGCGTTTAAAAATGCAAATAACAGTTTGTAATTACAGATGTTAAGTAACAGAACTAAGTAAGGTTTTTATATTTGTTAAACAGTTGCACATTAAATATAACATATTACGCCCTCAACACGTACCCCCATCTGACATTTAAAGGCCCAGAGGCACATTGAAGCTTTATCCGTGTTACACACAATGCGCATAGAATTACAGTAATTCAAGGCAGAGACAAACTAAAATTATTTTATATATACAAACATATGTGTGGGCACAAGTGTTTGTGTGTGCATTTGTGTGTGTATTTATGTTTGTGTATGTGAAGTGAAGGCTTGTGTGTGGGTGTGTGTATTGTGCACTTTTGGCTCGTTGCAACGAGGAAAATGGGAAATGCAAAAACAAAGCGTTTTCCAAGGCAGACGCACAGCTGTCATTATAAAGTTTTACCGCGTGTGCAAAATAAATACATAAAAAACAATTAGTATTAGACTAGGAGATACCCTAATCCTAGAGTTAAGTTACTTTTACTAACTTCTTAACTCAGCTCTAATAAATTTTATATTTTTGTTCATACTCGATTCTTATCGATAATATGAAACTGGGAGAAGATATCTAAAAAACACGATTAGCTTGCATTGCTTATGGCATATGAGAATACATACTTAAAATTTCAAGTCTCTAGCTTTTAGGGTCTTTGAGAAATGGGTCAGTTCGATTCAGCTCTTCTTCCTTTTCATATATATATATATATACTTTATATGTGAGAAGATGCTTCGTTTTGCTAGTTACATACATTTGCACAAAAATGTTATACGCTCTATTCGCCCTTTTTAAGCAAATATTTGTAAATATATTTTAATTTAAGGAAAGTGCAAGGTAGTACTTAAGTACAAACAGTTAAATACTTTGCGAACTATTAATTTAATTTAAATGCATAAAAGCTGTAAGTCTTGTAACCAGTTCATACTGAAACGAAGCGTCTAACTGAAACATCTAGACTCATATCAAAAGTGTTCTGAGTTTAAAGTCAAGCAGCAAAACAAATTCACAGTTCACAAAATTGCAAGTGATGCGTAAATAGACAATTCTTAAGAAGTAGAAAGTAGAAGTAGAACTAGAAAGATAGTCCATATAGAAAATAAGTAAATTATCGCAAAATTATTATGCTGAATCTACGTCGCACTTTAACATCCATCAATCCGTACGAGGTGCAGACCCTAAGTGGCCGGCTCCTGAATCGCCAATGTCTCAATCAAAAGGTCAAGGCTGTCGCTCAACAATTGGTATGGAACTCTCAGCTCCAGGATTGCAATGCATTTCGCAACTGTTGGCAATTTTATGCCAATGGCCAGAAGCCCGTTTCATTTGTTGAGCAGCAACGACGCAAGATGGCAAATCGTGGGTTTGTCGATCGCATCAAGAATCCGAATGCAGCCAAATTTTTGCAGCTATTTGCAACTTCCGAGTTAAGGGTGCAAGGCAATGTCTATGATCAGATGTACGATGAGTTCGTGAGCTGTTTCAAATGCCCACAGTCAGGACCGTGCACAACTAAAAAAAGTAAACGTCATCTTTCACGTAAAAGTGTGAAAGTTGTAACAGCCGCAAGGCCTGCAACGCGAAATGAGGGCAAAAAATTGAAGCCAATATTTAAAATAAATCCAGCTCTTTTGCCCCATCCATCAAATGAAACTGCACCGGATAAGCGTAGAATTCGCTTTAAGGATGATAATATTCGTACGAAACCAGGAATTATTTATAAAAGTTGGATTTCAACTGTGGGAACTTCTGCTGATGCATCCAGAGACGATTCACTTGAAATGGAAACAATAGAGATACCGCACGAGGAGTTTAAAAAAAATGAAAAACCCGAAGTTCCAAAAACTGATGCAAAACCCGACGAGTTACAACAAAATGTGAAAAACGAGGGCTTGAAAGCAAAGGTACGACTCGCAAAGTTACAACAAAGTGTAAAGCCCCAGGGATTAAAAGCTAATGTACGACCCGAGGAGTTACCAAAACGTGTGAAGCCCGAGGGCTTAAGAGCAAATGTACGAACCGAGCAGTTACAATCCAATGTAAAGCCCCAGAAATTAATAGCTAATGTAGTACCCGAGGAGTTACTACAAAGTGTGAAACCCGAGAACTTACAAGCTAATGTACGAATCGCTGAGTCACAACCCAATGTAAAGCCCCAGGGATTAAAACGTAATGTAAAACCCAAGCAATTAAAACATAAAGTAAAAAACGTACAGTCAAAACATTATGTAAGCTTCAAAAAGAAACTTTCGGAAAGCTTAATCCCAAAATTACCAAAGCTATTAGAACCTACACGAAACTCCAATGTAACGAATATCTCAGAGAAAGACATAACATCTATTTTAGAGAAAGAAGATCAAAGAACACAAAAGGAAATCGAATTGGCTGAAATAGCAATGCTGGAAGAACTAGCAAGGAAACGAAGAATAAGACTAACAAAAGCGCATTCAGAGCCCAATTTCAAATCGCACAGTTTTAAACATCATAAACACCATGCCCAGAGAAAGAAAACCTATACAAGTCTTCGAAGAACAGATACTTTGAATATGTCTAGACTTGGCAGTAGTCTTCGTAGCACATATACCAGGAATATGTTGAACATTCAAAAACAGTCCAGATTTCAAGACCTATTGAAATTTCGATTGTCCACTACACCAATAAGATACAGTTCGCAGTCGCTTGCATCGCGTAAGTCGTATGGAAGAGGCTCAACCATGTCCAGACCATCAGTCAGGTACAGAGGCTCAGCCATGACCACATCCCCCCGCCCAGCACCTCCTCCAACCGTAGCCCCTGGCCCAGCACATACCTCAACCGTAGCTCCTGGCCCTACCAATGCCGCAGAGCCTGCCTCAAAACCCCCAACCAACCCATTACCGCTACCGCTCCCAATAGTACATGGGCCAATTAAGAAGAAAAAACAGGGATATTCAATACCCTCAATTAAGCCAACCATCTACATAACTAAAAAAATCTCAAAAGTTAAAGAATCGTCACTCGACACATTACTGAAACCCAAATATGCAAGTCTATACTTGAAAAAATTTGGCTCAGATCCGTTGCCGGTGGATATGACGTCCGTTACTTCGATTGATTCACCAGCAAAACCCGTAGATAACGATTGGGGTTTTATGAAGCTGCCTAAACTGCCATCGGGCATTTTTTGGAAACTATCGTCATCTTTTTATGAACCGTCGTACGAAATATTCGAGAACTTCTTAAACAAATATCCACCGATTGACGTTGAGCAGCACGTTCAAGATTTTATGACCAATAATAATATTAACTTTGATATGTTTGATACACTTCCCAGAAACTGGCCACTTCCCTTTGAATCAAAGCTTGTACGACGCATGCGCAGCGAAAAACGCAAATGTTTAACCTTGCCAAAAACATCCAGAAAAACTAAAAAGACGGAAAAAACAAGGCGAAAGAAAGTATCTCAAGAGCCGAAACCGGAACCAGAACTTCATAAGGTACCCAGCTGTGAGATATGTCGCAACTTCAATCAGACCGAGCCCGATCAACCATACATGATTGAAATGAAAAAGCGACAGGCTTGCGACGAACTCAAGCGATATTATAGACAAAGATTAATGTCACAGCCCCCAAATTCACCAACTGTACGATGCGCTGCACCCAAGAACCCATGCGTTCATTTTGGTTCCCAGCCGGAACTAAATATAATGGAAGAGAAACTGCGACAAGTCCGCGACGAACTCAAGAGATATAGACGGAGATCACCAACAGATTCACAATCGGTTCAAGGCAGTGCTCCCGATGAACCATTCATTTGTTTTGGTTCCAGACCGGAACCAAATATGATTGAAATGAGAAAGCAAGAGGTCCGCGATGAACTGAAGACACATTATTTTCGGCGATTATCAACATCAAGCTCACAAATGGCTAGCGACTATTCAACCCAGAAGCCTTGCGTTCATTTTGATGACCAAACGGAACCAAGCAGCAGGCACAAACAGGATGAATCGCTGCGACCATCACAGGTTCATTTGAACTGGCAACCAAAACAGATCCGAATGCACAAGGAAAAGCATACAATGCGGCAAAAACTGGCTGTGTGTTACAAGATGCTATGCGATTGTGAAACGCTTTTAGATAAGAAGTTAAAGCAGCTTAAAGATGACAAGCGTTGCCTTTAAACTCTAATCTGTACTGTGTTTGAACTAATTCGTTAAGCAAAGCGAACTAGTTTAAGCACAGCACAGATTATTGGCTGAGAAACGCAGTAGTCTTTTTTTTTTAAAGAAATTAGTTTTAAATCTAGAAAGAAAAATAAAAAACGTTTTTTTTTAAGTACATTCTAAGTTCCGAATTCTTATTGCAGTTGAGCTAACCAAAGCGGGGTTAAGATTATATATTTATGCCAATCAAAATGACAGGCATTTGTGAACAACCTATAAATGTAAACACATCTAATTAACTTTTCTTTTCTCTTTTTTTAATAAAAATAAAATAATAAAAAATTCTTTAGTTTAAATTGCAAGTGCAACAACACCTGATAGATGAACGCATTGCAGGGATTGAATAGTCTGAGCGTGCCCGTCAAGAGCGATCGCTTTGGTGTCCAGCCATTGCTATTGAATCGGGATTGTTTGGTTAAGAAAATCGAGATACTATCGCCCCTAATCGAAAAACTACATTGGAGAAATAATAATGAAGTATTTTGTGCCTATTGGAGCTACTTGGCCGACATCTACAAGAGGCAACAACAGGACATACTCCAACGAATCGAACAGAATGCCGAGTTTTTGAAAAATATTGAAGATAAAAGAACAGAATCCTTTTGGAAATTTCTGCTGCCCCGTAAAAGGCGTACTGCCAATGAAATTTTTTTATACGATGTAGCCGCTAAAAAAGCTGAAAATACCATCTATGAGGAATTTATGGAATGCTTTAATCATATAGCAACCGGCACCCTAGTGAAGTCTCGCAAACGACGATCAGAGTCTTTGTTATTAACTTGGAAACGCGAAAAAGTTAAGGCTTTAGATGCGCTCAAAGCAACTCAAAATCCATACGACATCGAGCGAATCCAGCAGAAATTAAAGCGTTTAGAGCAGTTAGAGGAGCGATTGAATCCATCTCAACCATATCCCGAGAGGCTGTATAAACAGAAGAAAAAGTATGAGCAAGTGCCAAAGATTCCACGTCCAGCGAATTGGGCAATTGAGTCTATAAGGCCTCAAAAATCATCAATTAGCAGATATAAAAAGAAATCTAAAAGATATACAAGAAAGCTTCATGACGAACTAGAACAGGAAGAAGAAATACAAATAAAAAGAAAAACACCCGAAGACCAAATTGATGGGCTAACGTTGAAGGAAAAAAATGAAAAGGAACTAGAAAGCCGACACTCATCGTTGAATACCAAAAACGAAAGAACAGCTATTAAAGAAGAACAACTGTTGAAAATACCCTCGCTTAGTAAAAACGTGCAAGAATCTAATATATATGAAATGGGTCAGAAAGATGTCCCTCAAATAGATGTCCAAATATATGAAGTAGAACCAAAGAAAGTTGTCTATGATTTACCTAGATCAAAGCACAAGACCGAACAAATAAGAAGAGTTAAGCAACAATCGCCGAACATTGATTCTCAGTCAAATCAGACTAATAGAAGACTTACAATGAGTACCATTAGTCTGGTTGCAGTCAAACCGAAAATAAAACATAAAAAAAAAATTGATGTAAGAGCAAAGTTGAAGAAACATGAAAAGACACAGAAGGAAGAAAAACTGACAGATATCAAAGTCTACATGAGTCAACATAAACGCAAGCGTACGCCCAAATATCTAAGAAAATTGCGCAAAGGTTTGGAGCAGCAAACAGAAAAACTACCCACCGATCAAATTGATTCCAAAAAGAACGATGAAAATGAATCCAATAAGTTAATAGAAACTGAGGCAAATCTATTAGCAATTAAACGATTCACAAAGGAGCAAGAAATAATAACCGAGCGTAAAATTCCGGAAGTCGAACAGAAAGTAGAGATACAAAATAATGAAAATGAAGAGAATTTGACTAAGAATGAAGAAAGAGTTCATATTTCAGAACATACACCAAACACAGATAAAAGTATTCGACTTGTTGATCGAAAAAAGAGGCGAACAGCATCGGCTAAACGCTCGTTAAGGGCGATTAAAGAAGAACAAAAGAAACCTTCGATGCCATTGAAAGCCATCTCAAACATCTCCATCTTAGAGCCCGAATTACCAGCAAATGCATCATATTTCATATCACAGCAGAATCTGCCACAAGCCAAAATTCCATTACGCAACAGCACGGAAGATACCCTAATAGGATCGTTTGCATCAAATAAAAGTGGCAGCAAAATGATGTGCGAAGAGGAAGCTGAACAATTGAAAAAGCCATTAAGCAATTTCAGATTGTATACCATGGATAAAGGTATTGTGTATAAAAATCCGTATGAGGAGCGGCCACAATATGGTGGTATAATGAGAGTTATAGAACAACAAGAAATGAAAGCCACTTCGACGCCATCAACTACGATGGTCAAGACAACACTTCATACCGCAAGACATAAGCTATGCGATAGAAGATCCACGCTGAGAAATAGTCGTCGCAAACGTCTGACCAAGGCCCATATTCCAAGTATGTCGCACCAAGTAATGGAAAAAGATGACAGAAAGACTCCACTATTGTTGTCCGATCTGGTGGCCGATTTACAGAAATCTGAAAGCCTGTACAATCTGCTGCAACAGATAAATCCAGTGGTGAACAGTGATATGGCACAGCCCCAGAAGAATGAAAAAGAAGCAGTCCCAATGCCTATGCCTATACCTGTGCCTGTGCCCAGGCCAAAGAAGCCAAAGAAGGTTGAAATCAAAGTCATTAAGACGCTGCCAGTCGAATCGCCAAAGCCCCCCCACACCTGCATTGCGTGCAGGATTTGCGCTCAGCTAAGAAAACGTCCGCCATTGCCAAAGCATCCCTATATGCAGCAGATAGAACGACAGCTGAAGACCCTTGAACTGCGCTCCTACTACGCGCAAATGATGCTAAGCAACTGTCTGCGGGAGAAGCAGTGCCAGAAGCGTCGTTGTCTGGAAAACGAGCTTAATTTGTGTCCCATTTAACGGGGAACTCTAGAAATTGACCAAACACCAAAAGTGCCAACGGCCTTTTGCGGTTAAGTCAAGTTCTAAAGTTCCCAGCTAAAACATTTCGAATTAGAAAGTAATTGATCGGCCGTTTGACAGTTCATTTCCCTTGCAAATTGTGCTTAAATTTTATATTCATAATTTAAGAAATTTTGCCAGAGATTTTGACTGTCAAAGAGCTGAGCTTGAGCTTTTTCACAATTACGACGAAAATTTCATATATTCTGTGCAAATTTGTGTCTGTAATAGTAAGTGTGAAAGTATGTTGTCCAAATAAGAAATCATTATGTTGTACAAAAATACAATTGGTTATAATTGCCAATGGTATTGACTATTAATTATTCATTCGGGTACGTAAAACTTCAATTTTGATTTAAAAAAAAAAATGGTTTATATTCTACAAATACTTGTTAGCAACCATATTCGATATACTATCGATAGTTGTTAGCATCGATATTCAATCAAGAGTTTCGAATGGAGGAAGTTTTTAAATCTTCTAAAAAAATGTCTGTTTAAAGAGCCAAGAATAAATATTGAAAAGTTCTTCTTTTTTCTTGTAAATTATATTATAAAACATATTTATACTGTTATTTAAGAATTAGAAAAAAACAAATATTTAAAGGTTTCTCCATAACATTTTTATTTTGCGCATTCGCCTTGCAAATGTCAGGCATAAATGTCAAGCTACCAACTGTTTGTATATTGTCAGAAGCATCACAGCATGTCTGAACTGTGACCTGCCCCTACATTGTACTATGTTCTTTTTACTTTTTTTTTTACAGTATTTTTTACATAGTTTCCATTTTATGTGCTAGTTTTTTGCAATTTTGCGCGTTTACAAGCCAGCAAACAAAAATAATCGCAGCGGGGCAAACAAAAAAAAACAAAAACTAAGGTTAGTCTGAAAAGTCTACACCCTCTCGAATATACCCTAAATGAGCTTGTTACAGTCTTTTTTTTAATACAACTTGAACTGTTTTTTAAGAAAAAAATCAAGTAAATGGCGTATAATAACATTTTTAATAGATCTACACTAATGCAGCCCAATATTAATATTTACAGGGTATACAAACCAAAGTGCCAACTGCGTTAACCAAACAAAAACTCGGTCAAGTGCTTTGAATAGCATCAAGCAAAGCAAAATATGTGCATAAAAGATAGATGCCTATAAAAAATGTAAATAATAAAAGAAACGAGCGAAAACTAGTTCTTGTTTCTAGTTTATTAATATTTATGCTAAGCAATGATCATTTATTGTTGATTTCCAAGTCCAAGCGAGGGAGACAGAGAGAGAGAGAGAGAGAGATAAGACAGCGCGCGCGCTGAAAAGTATGCTATAGAAAAGAATGTAAAAGCGTGCTGCGAGGGCGCAAACAGCTTATGCCTTGGGCTAGATTAGTGGGTTAAGGGTGCTAAGGGGGTTAAAGGGGGAAAAGCTGCTGCTAATATAAATGATGACAGGTGCTGGCAGTAGCCAGGAAATTCATTTACGACCAATTAAATGGCAAACGCAATGGCAAGGACAAAACGCTAATGAAAATATGAATTGCGCTCACTATGACTGCTCTCTCCCTCTCTCTCTCTCGCACTCTCTCTCTCTCTCTCTATCTCTGTGCGGCACACAAATTGCTTTTACTTGTTTAACGAGCGGCCTAAGCGTTATAGAAACAACATAAAATAAACACTGTCATTTAAACGCATTCAATTTGTATTTTAATAATTAAAAGTCTAATTGTTTAATTCGCCTGGACGACTGCGCTAATTGTAATTTTATTAAATTCTTTAGCCTGCAAATGGAAATGGAAATACATTTAATTGGACCACAAGCCGCAACAACATAAAATGCCCATTCATTGTAGTTGTACATTTATTAAAATCTATTAATTGGTTCAGAGCCCTATTTCTACCAATTACAAATTAAATAAGTCATTCAGGTTCTTTTTTGATATAAGACCAATTAAATTATTGTTTGACGAATTCGAACCTCTCGACTAATATAATATAAACAAATTTATAAACCGATTTCTACTTGCGATTCGTTGCGGTTTGATATAAAGGCAACTGCTAGGATTTATTCATATTGCAGAAGTAAAGTGAATATCTAGACTAAATTTAAAGCAATTGCCACAGCATCTAACTGACGATAGAGACTTTGAGCAGGTTTACAGGTGTAATAGTATGATTTTCTTCGTTGATTTAACTTATGTTCGGGTTGCCTTTTTATTTTTAACAACACGTCTTCTTACTGCTAGTACTGTAGCGAGACTGCCTTCCACTTCTTCTCTGCAGCCGCTTTTCTTTATCGATATTTACTTATCGTACTGTTATAATTAACATAGATAGTGACACTATAATACCCTGGCTAGGGTTACCAATGATGCTCTTATCCTATTACAACTCGGCCATCCTGACAAAGAGAGCTCCCGATCTCTGTCTTTTATATGTGTATCTATCTTTATAACTAATGCTTATTGCCTATTTTCGCATCCAATGCTTAAAGTTTTGGCTATTCCAGATACCAACGTACGGGTTGCGAGATAATTGAAAGCCTTCTACATCCTTTAACAAGTATCTATCATTTTTTAAAATCTTTTCTATACTATAAGGCCCTTTATATCTTGGTATTAACTTTTTTGAAACTCCTGGTGTGCTATCAAAATTTTTTACCATGACATAGTCACCTATTTTATATTCTACTGATACTTTCTTCTTTTTATTAATCCGCTCTTCATTTCTGATTTGAGCTTCTTTTTGATATATTTCTCCACTCTTTCTTATATTTTCTAAATTTCTTTTATCACACGTGTTCACCTGTGTAAACTCTTCTAATTTTTCTTTTAATTCATCAACAACTTTTCCTTTCTGTTGTAATCCGAATAACATTTCGCTTGGAAATTTCTTTATGCTTTTGTGTTGTGTGTTGTTTATTGCATATTCAACATTTTCTATAATAACATCCCAATGTAAACCATTTTCTGGCTCCGCCATTTTTGCCATCATCGGACCCAAGTCTCTATTCAACCTTTCCACCTGACCATTTGCTTGCGGACAACCCGTTGCTATTTTAATATGCGTTACTCCCTCATTTTTTAAAAATTCATCAAACTCTTTTGCAGTAAAACAACTCCCTCTGTCCGATACAATGAACTTAGGTCTACTATACGCTCTGAAATAATCTTTTAATGCCTTAATCGCTTCTTTCGTACTTGTTGTCTTTGCTGTATATAGTCTAACAAATTTTGAAAATCCGTCAACCACCGCCAATATATATTTATTAGCCCTTCCTGCATTAATTGGTCCATAATGGTCTATATGGATCATCTCCCACGGTTTGTTTCCTTTCGGTATGCTATGTAATAGTCCTTCACTCTTACCCGTCTTGGGGGCGAAGGCAATGCATTTTAAACAATTCCCTATATGCTTTATTGCTTTTTCCTTAATATATGGGAACCAGTAACTCTTTCCAATGGCATCGATCATCTTATCTCTCCCAGCATGTCCCAACTCATCATGATATTTGTAAAGTACATGTTCTTCCATATCCTTTGGTACATAAAAAACTAATCTGCCATCATTTGTTTTTCTGTAAATGACCCCATTTCTCATTTCGAATAGCTTGTGCTCTTCTTTTTCTAACATCTTTCTAATATCTACCAGTTTGTCATCTTTGCTTTGGCAAATAACTAAATTGTCCTCAAAACTATTGGATTCAATAACTAAAATGTCCTCATAACATCTGCTTAACGCATCCACATGTTGCATTTGCTTGCCCGATCTATGCACTAACTCAAAATCGTAATTTTGTAGTTCTAACGCCCATCTAGCAATTCTCGGATTTAAATCTATTTTGTTAAGCGTTAAAGTTAAAGAGTTGCAATCTGTCATTATTTTAAATCGTTTTCCCTGCAGATATATACGAAATCTGCGTAATGCGTAAATGATGGCTAGCGTTTCTAACTCAAAACTATGATATTTAGACTCTACTTCGGTTGTTCTTTTAGAAAAATAAAAAATCGGGTGTAATTTCCTATCTTCTTTTTTTTGAAATAAAACAGCCCCAAATCCCACTGCGCTGGCATCACAATGTAGTTCTATTTCTTCTTTGTAATTATATATTGATAGTACTGGCGCCTCTAACAATTTATCTTTTAACATATTAAAACACTTAAACTCCTCTTCTCCAAACTTGAATTTCTTATCTTTTTTCAATAAATCATATAAGGGTTTAGCTAATATAGAAAAGTTTAAAATGAACCTCCTGAAGTAGGAGCATAACCCTAGGAAACTTTGTACTCCCTGAATTTTGTTTGGTATTGGAAAGGATTTAACCGCTTCTAACCCTTTTTCATCAGCCCTAACGCCTTTACTATCCACCACAAATCCTAAATATTTAACGCTGCTTTTAAAAAATTCACACTTATCTAATTTCAACTCTAATTTGTTTTGCACCAGTCTTATAAACACTTCCTTTAAGGTCTCCATGTGTTCCTTTATGTTTGTACTTGCTATCATAATATCATCCATGTAAACAATTACCTTATTATCTTTTATCATATCACAAAATATGTTATTAACAAATCTTTGAAATACATGTGGCGCAGTTTTTAAACCCATGGGCATCCTAAGAAATTCATATTGTCCTAGAGGGGTAACAAATGAAGTGTATTTAATAGATTGCTCATTAACAAAAACATGAAAATACCCGTTTTTTAGATCCAACTTTGAAAATACTGTTTTTCCGCATAGTCTGTCTAATAAATCGTCGATCAATGGTAGCGGGTAGTTGTCTCTACATATAATTTTGTTCAGTCTTCTAAAATCAATACATAACCTCATGTCTCCAGTTTTTTTCTTCACTAGTACTATAGGTGATGCATACTCTGAACAACTTGGCCTAATGATTCCATCTTTTAAATAGTCGTCTAATAATTCTTGCAACTTTTCTTTTTCCATATAAGATAACCGCCTAGGTGTACAATTAAATACTTTGTCGTTTTCTAATCTTATGCTTAACTCATGTCTTAATTTTGGCTGATTTGGCCTTTTCGCTTTTACATAAGTATTTTCAAATAAATTTTCAAATTCACACTTTGTGCTGTAATCAATATCTTCACTTAAAATATATATATTTTCTCTTTTGTTAGAATCTTCCCAACTTATTGTTAAGATATCCTTCTCAAAATTCTCTTCTAACACTCCCATGATTTCGCTATTCACTGGCGCTTCATTAACATGATTATTAATTTTAACTGCACTGTTTCCTATATCTTCTATAATCACTTTTTCAATCCCGGTTTGATTATAGATAATTTCATCACTAAC